AATAATCATTAATGATTAATGGGGGGGATTTCTAGTCATATTTTCATTATATAATGTTATCTAGAGTAAACAAATTCCTTTTAACATTTGTGCTGGATACTATAAAAGTGTAACTAAACATCAGAGACCCTCCCCTCGAAATCTGTTCGTGGCCACGTGTGATCAATCAGCTAGACAGATCTTAATACCAAGTGTAAACTGGTTGAGCACTTCAGAGTGCACACACACAATGTATTCCATTTAAATAAAATAACACTGGAGCTATTAAAACTGACCTTTGCCCTGAAACTACCATGGAAATCCATTACATCCAGGATATCTTACCTCAGCCTCACCATCGCCATCCCCATCACCAAACACTCCCAGAACTTCCTCTTCATTCACTTCTTCTAAAAACACACACACACACACACATTTTAAATGGGCATTATAACCAGAGTTTGACATTAACAACCGCAGGAGAAAATCATGGCAGGTTCCGCATATCAACTCACTATTTAATTGGGTGCATGATGGGTTGTGATTCATAAATTATGTCCAGCCACTTTGTATGACATCACTATCAGAGCCCCTCCCCAAAAAGGAGCCTCCAATATTAGCAAAATAAAGCATAAAGAGTAACAGCCCTCTATGATTTACATTCACATTTATCAAGAAAAAAGGTAGTAATAATAATAATATGGGCAATATTACACTTTGATATAAAACATCTAAGAACATAATTGTAATCAGATCTGTTAAAGAACTGGACCATGAAGTAAAATATCTTGCATTAGAAAACACCTACCATGCTCTTCCAGGTAAGCCTGCAGCCGGGCAATCAGATCTCCTTTATTTCCTTTGGCGTCCAGCCCTCGAGCAGTGCATTCTAGCTTCAGCTCAGCCAACTGAGGAGATTACTTCATTTTAATGACTGGAGTGACATTTATCAACCACAATTAACACATCAGCGGTGTCAGAATCAGTGCTTTGTCAGTCCATAAAGAGCTGGCATCTGAACAAACATGGATACGTCTATATAGATGAGTCCTAACAAACTAAACTGAATACAATATGACATTTCTTGAAAGAACGAATGACAGAGAAAAAAAAAAGACAGACAGAAAGATAGACAGACTGAATGGCAAAATGAAAGAGTGACAGATGGACAGAAAGACGGACTAACAGAAAGACAGATTGTTTTTCATGGTGTCAATAAATTTAATATTGTAATTCATGAATGAAAAAAGTGAAAGACCAATAAATGAAAAATCTCAAAACAAAAGTAACCCTAATATATTAGCTCGTGGTACAGTAGGCGGTGTGTAATGAGCTTATCTCAGTAAACATCATTTTGTGGCCATATGTACTTATAATGGCCAACATGTCATTGTTTACACAAGAAGCTCACTAGATTTGAATACCATTACGCCCAAAAATGAGGTTTAATAAAGCAGCTTACTATGTATTGGTGAGCTATGATGGTAAAAAAAAAAGTCGTTTAAGTAAGCAGCTAACTTGTTTTTTAAAACTATGATGTCTATTGTTACAACTTACTTTTTAGATGGACAGGCACGTGTTGTTGTTGGGATTTATTTAAAAAATATTTTTAAATAAACCACTGCAAGAGTAGAGTCAGTGTATTATCAAGGGGAACAAAGTAAAAGTCAACTTTTTGTAAGAGTCTTAAAGACTAAGCTAAAATGCTGTTTAGGTAAATAGGTACTTGTGGTTTAAAGCGAAGGCGAAGAACGAAAGACGCTGTCTGTCTATAGGAAGCTCACTGGAAGCTCACAGAAGTGCTGAAGGAACGATTGAAACGTCATATCTATTATTAATTAATCATCATAATTCAACTTAGCACAACTAGGAACAGCTTACTGTTGCAGTCATATCCAAATAATAAGTAGAAAGTAAAACATTTCTTTGTAGTAGTCTGTTACCTTGAGTTTATGCAGCTCCACGACTTCCGCCATTTTCTTGAAGAGGTTTGTATTTTGAAATCTCCTTCTTTCCGGTTTTAACGTGATTAAGGAAAAGCCTGCAGCGCCACCGGTCGGTCAGAAGGGACAAAGCATAATGTCGGGCGTTATTTAAAGGTGTAGTTCATCCAAAAATAACAAATAAACCATAATTTACTCACCCTTAAGTTGTTCCAAACCTGTATGAATTTCTTTCTTCTGTTATATTTTGAAGAATACGGGTAACCAAGCAGTTGATGGGGTCCACTGCATAGACATAATATATACATAGACGCCCTATTGGCCGCTGGAGCGTACGTCAACGGCGCCGCCATGTTGGGGATGGCAACTTTCCCATACCTCTCGTACCGGGAATTGAGAAAAATGCCTGTTTTGTGCGCTGTTTGGGGCTGTACACATCGCCACACAATTGAAAACAGCTTTCGAGGAATTACCTTTCACAAGCAAGACTGAACGTTTGTTTTTGGTTGTATTTGGTCATGATTTAATTAGTAATAGTAACGTTCAGAGGATAAATTTAAAAATACTACTGTTATTGTGTCACGAAATGTAGTTTAAATAGTTTTTCAGTCGACTATGTAGTTGTTTAAAGCTCAAATATGTGGTTTGTTTATAAAGATAGCGCCTATTTAAAAATTTGATCTGACGTTTTCGGAGTTGTAAGATGCGCTCAGCGCTCGTCTACCCCGCCTGGAACAGCCGTACCTCGGCCAGTGCTTCTGAAGTGTTGCCGCTGACTCGGATGTCTGTAGTCTAGTGGTTAACCATGAGATATAATTAGTCTTGTGTATATCTAACGGGCGATCTTTGGTCTCATTAATCTATAAATGGTTCCCTGGTAAATCGTTTTGGCTGAGGGCAAAGTGAAGTTTCATAACTTTATATTTAGGCTATTTTAACATTGTATCCTGCTGTATGCTTGACTGAAGCTACTTCTGTTATAATGGCTATTACTGATCAATAAAACTGAAATTTAACAAAAAGAGTTAAATATTAAAGTCACTATTTAACTTATTTTTTATTGTGTATATTCTGTAATTGATATTTCTTATTCTATTGCTATTATTATAGTATTATTAATAAACTATGCTATTATCAATATTTTTATGATTGTATTATTGTACTTATGATATTATACTTATAATTATACTAATCATTACTATTTTATTTGCTGTATACTATTTGTTTATTTTATTGACTAAACTATTTACTATTACTTCTCACTTTATGTTATATTTACTATTTGCATTGCACTGTAGTTGTACCATAACGTATTATTATAAAGGATCCATCAGTTATCTTTGTTATTGCTAAAATCTGGTCATTTACAGAAAATGCTTTTTCCACAATAAGAAAACTTGAATTATATCTCAGTATGGGGGTCTTCACCATTCTTATCCAAGAATAAAAAGCCAGATACATGACAAGCCTGAGCTTAATTGACCATTCTTTATTAAAAAAAAATATTTTACAAGTCTAACTATCGAGATTTTAAATAACTAGAGATGGAACCTTTTGTACACCACATACAAACCACTGAAATCGGTTGATAAATGTAAAAACAGTTTGTTTTTATCCAGAAAAAAACACCTCCCCCATTTACTTACATTTGTTCACAGCGCAGTCTTGCCCTCCGCAAAATGGCGGACCCGTTGACGTATCGCAGCAACGTTCCAAAGCGGCCAATAGGGCGTCTATGTATTTATTATGTCTATGGTCCACTGACTCCCATAGTATGGGGGGAAAAAAGTAAATGACGACAGAATTTTTAGATATTTTTTTTTTACACTGAATCAGCATTGAACTAAATTGAGGAGAACAATGATGACACTGACAGTAGTCTTTTGTAGAGCTGCTTCGTTTCATAATATGTTAAATTGTTAATGCGAAGCTGCTTTGAAACAATAATCTGTAATATATTAAGTAATGTATATAAATAAATGTGATTTGACTTGACTCTCGTCTCACAGAGTGCGCGCACAAAATCTATCAGCGCGGGAAATCAAAATGATGACATGCTATAATTATGAAATGAAAAGTTGAAATAAAGCCATAAAGAGTAATTTATGACATATTATATTTTTAATCTCATAATTAAACATTTTTATCATATAAATCTAATTTTAGCTCAGACTTTTTAATCTTATAATTATGATTTATGTCATAATTATTACTTAGTGTGTCATAAATTCGACTTTATCTCATAATTTTGTCTTTTTACGTCATAATTATGATATAAAAGGCAGATATTAGAGGTAGATGTCATAATTTCGACTTAATATGTCATAAGTATTACTTATATTATAATTTTGACTTTATCTCATAATTTCGACTTTTTACATCATGATATAAAAGTAAAAAAAATTAGGGCGTAGTAGGCTTGTGTCATAATTTCGACTTAATACATCATAATTAATGCTTAGTATGACATAATTTCATAAAAGTCATAATTATTATATAAAAGTCCAAATTTAAGGCGTAGTATGTCATTATTTTTTTATTTAATAAGTCGTAGTATGTCATAATTTCGACTTTATCTCATAATTTTTACATCCTAATTATGATATGAAAGACAAATATTAGGGATAGTATGTCAATTTTGACTTAATAGGCCTATGTCATAATTATTTTGTAGTATGTCATAATTTCGACTATTTCAGAATTTCAACATTTTACGTCATGATATAAAAGTAAAAATAGGACATAATTGTGTCTCATAATTTCGAGTTTACCTCATAGTTATGACTTTTCCCCCTTATTTTTGTAATGTTTTTCCCAATGATACGTAGGACACTAAAATAGAGCCGATTGTTTCAACTGATGGTGCTCGTGCGTTCGTTTGTATCCCCGGCGTAAACCGTAAAGAGGGCGGGCGTTATTCTTCTCGCTCAGCTCATTGGTTAGACGTAAGACATACGTTTTTTAAGTGTGGTCGTTTTTTACGTAACGTAGGAGGCCTTTGTTGTTTCCCTCAGTTCATTGGTCTACGCCAGAAGGCCGACGTTTCCTCGGAGGGCGGGGCCTGTTTTTGTGCTTTGTCGCGAGGGCGTGTTGTTTGAAACGCGGGAATTGGCGGTATTGATGTTAAGTTGTGTCATGATTTTCGGTCGCCTGTATTTTTACGTATCAAATAAACGATTTTAATGTTTCTGATCGCTGTTTTGCAACTAAAAGTACTCTCGCCACACATCTCTAGTTTTAAATAGATTTGGAGTGGAAGTGTCCCCGGAAAAGGGGGAGTTTGACATGGAGTCCTTTCAGAAAGTGGAGAAGATTGGAGAGGGAACATACGGGGTGGTTTATAAAGCCAAGAATAAAATCACCGGAGAGACCGTTGCTCTGAAGAAAATACGATTAGACACGTAAGTTAAGTGATTGTCATTAGTTTTATGTAGTCGAGAAGCCTTTCAGATTAAAAATAACTCACAGTCACAATCCAAACTGTAACTAAGTGACGCGAATGTTTGTTTTATGTTTACGAGTGATACGGATCTCATCCGTTATTTACGAGAATAAGTGCTTTTAAAAGTCAGTTCATCTCTGTCAAAGCTGTTGCACTGCTGATGTACTGGATTGTTAAACACTTTAATGTTCGTTTACAGGCAGATAATAGCCTAATGGTAACACTTTACAAAGTTTCACCATGTACACATTAGTGTCATGAACAAACAATGATCATTTCTTAGAGAAGTTGTTTATAGGTTAATAAATGTAATGTTGTTCATTGAAGTTTGTTTATACATTAACTGTTAATTAATGCAGCTCAATTGTGAATGTACAGTAACGTTACGGGTAAAGTGTGGAAACATTGCCACGTTTAATGTTTTTAAAAGATGTCTCTTATGCTTATCAAACCTACATTTATTTTTATCAAAAATACAGAAACAGTAATATTGTCAAATATGATTACAATTTAAAATAATAGTTTTCTATTTGAATATACTTTCAAATATAATTTATGTGATGAAGAGTCTTCAGTGTCACATGATCCTTCAGAAATAATACTAATGCTGATTTATTAATATATTTTTTTATAACCTGTGATACTTTTTCAGGATTCATTGATCATTTTTGATCAAATAAATGCAGGCTTGATGAGCATAAGAGACTAAGTTCTTTCAAAAACATTAAAAATAGTAATGTTTTCACAATTTTGACAGGTTCAAAAATGTTCTGGTGTTCATTGTTATTTCATTTTTGTTTATAATGCATTAGAAAGGTTAATATATACAACTCGAAATTAAAAATATATCAAAATTGTGTATGTGGAAATTAACATTAACCTAGATTGATACATTTTGTATTCCTTACTGCTATTTCGTGATCCCTGCTTTAACTAATCGTAACTAATTTAACGGTCTGTACGTTTTGAGGGCTGCTTCATTGGCTGTGAGCTTCATATAAACAGATGTTTGTCTTAGATGAGGGATGTGTTTGAATGACATGATTGTTTGTTGGTTTCAGGGAGACTGAAGGTGTTCCCAGCACTGCCATACGTGAGATCTCTCTGCTTAAAGAGCTCAATCACCCAAACATAGTCAAGTATGAGCAATGTCTAAACCTTAGTCCTATTCATGATTTTTTAACCCGTGCATAACTAGTCCTTTGTTTCACATCATGATGTAGAGTCAATGCACAATTCTAAACAAACTGCCCCAAGGCTTCTTGAGTCTTACAGTTTTCTCGCCCACAGGTTGCGTGATGTGATACACACAGAAAATAAGCTTTATTTGGTGTTTGAATTTCTTCACCAAGACCTGAAGAGGTTTATGGACTCGTCCTCTGTTTCTGGCATTTCCTTGCCACTCGTGAAGGTGAGTTTAAACGGGGCCTTGATCTTTTTACATATAAGGGGTCATTTTACTATATAACACCCTGTATGTTTCAGAACTCAACTTCCTTGTTAGTCCAAAAACAGCTTGTCACCTTTGGGGAAATTTGCCATTTTGGATAAAAATACGTCACTGATCGTCTAGGTCTGATGAGTTTAGTCTTTAGACAGGAGGCCGATCCGTGTTTGACATCAAAGTACTAAGAGAGCGATTCGAAAGCATACAGGTAGGGGTGGTGAAAAAAATCGATTATTGATTAATCGCGAGTATGTTATGGACGAGTATGAATCGATTATTACATTTTCAAAAATCGATTTTTTTATTATAAAAAAAAAAAATTTGCATTATTTTATTTTGTAAAAAATGTTATACCGGAAGTTGAACGTCACGAACGCGCCCAGTTCCAGTTAGCAAGCGCGTGTAACGGCCGGGCAGCCAGAGCGAGTGAGAGCAGGTGTGCCGGAGACACACTGGCTGCGTGGCGGCGTCTCAGCTGCGTGGTGTGTCCGTTTTTATTTCGGCTCCCATGTTATGGAAAGCCGTTAGGGCCAAAAACACGCGAATTTTAACGCGTATTTCACGCGTATTTCACGCGTAAAATACGTGTAAAATACGCGTGAAATACGCGTGACATAATCAACTCGTATTTCACGTGTAAAATACGCGTATTTCACGTGTATTTTACACGTAAAATACGCGTGAAATACGCGTTAAAAATCAGTATGAACGGGTCCGTGTCATTGGCTGCTGAAGACTTGGGTCTAACCATTTGTGTGAGCTTAGAGGGGTGTACCTTTCATAGACTAGGCTACCACCAGTTTACATTCTATAGATCAGCTTATTCAGGTTTTTTGTATAACCTATATGAATAATATATTTAAATAGCAGTTTTATGACAATTAATTTTTTTTATGACAATTAATTTTATGACAATTTAGATAAAAATAAAATTAACTTGTTTTTCTCCACTCATGCCTTTTTGTAAATAAACACATTAGTGGACATTCTAGCTTTAACATCAAAGCATTAACGTGTGTGGGGAAATCAGTTACAGTGGAGGTAACCAATGCAGGTTTATGATCACTGCAGGTTTAAGATACAGACCACTGTAATCAATATCTGTCTTTGGAAAACAACGTGAGCTTTTGTTGTGCTTACATTTACAGCTATAGCAAGCAGGGGGCGCTTTTTCAAACCTTTTTGTTCTGAAATTGGGCACTCAGACAAACTGTAATTAGGTATACAGGTGATATTATCAATTTAAAGGAATTTAATGACTTAAAGTATTTAAATATGTTATTTAAGGCTTTCAGGATTAGAATGGGAGCTTGTGCTCAGGTCAGGACAGGTATAAGAACTTGATTTGGCTTTCCTGACAGCAGAAGTATTTTACTGCTACCAAAATTAAATATCCTCCTATTTCTTTTTTTCTTTTTCGTCGTTTTCTTGTGTAGCCCAAAGAAAATAGATAGATTGCATTTTTATGAACAAATATTTTTACCAAGATTGCCCCCTTTTGCATATTAGTACATTTACATATTATTATTATTATTATAACAGGGACAATGGACAGTAAAGAACTGTCCCAGAATTAGCTACAGAGCTAAATTTCATCTGCAGTCCCTGGCATTTGGCAGATGCTTTTATCCTAAGTGCCTTACATTGCATTTCAATGTACACATTTACGTTCTTATCAGTTCTTGCTTTCCCTGGGAATCGAACCCTTGCATGAATTTTGCAAGCGCTAACATTCTACGGTTTGAGCTACAGGAAAAGTAGGAATTTATCTGTAAAACAAATCAACCCAACTCAAGATTTCTAATATTAAAAGTTAACATTTGATTGTGGAAAAGTTTACAGCTGTGGTTCTTGATCAATGCAATTGTAATGAATATCTGTTAAAACAACATAACCTTGCTTGCAGGGACCAAATTACAGAAACGTCCTATCTTAAAGGTATTGTTCACTCAATTTAAAATTCTGTCTTCATTAACTCACCCTCATGTTGTTTCAAACATGCATGAGCCTCTTTGAATGTTTGGTTACTAATATTTGAAGATTATTGTTAACCAAACATTGCTGGTCCCCATTGACTTCCATAATATTTTTTTCCATAGTATGGAAGTTCCACACAAGAAAGAAACTTTGGAACAACATAAGGGTGTAAATGGGTGAACTATACCTTTAAGCCCCAAGTTATAATCTGACAAGTTCAGTGTTTTAAATTGGTTCCAAAATGAAATCACAGTGGTTACTTAAGACAAGATATTACTCTGACTGAAGTTGTTTCTGCAATACAGCCTCAGGAAACCATTCCAGGTCATAATTTCAAGTCCTCCCTCAGTGTCATATATTATTAACTAATATTCAGGGCAATTTGTACTTACCTCAGACTTGTCAGCAGCTTAATATCCTTTTATCTTAGCTCCATATCCTTTATATCTTTAAACATACAATGCTTTAATAGTACAATAATACAAATGCAATAAATTAAACTGTGCAATACTCAAATCTATATTTTCTACTGTTTAGTTTCATAAGTAGAGTATATGTACAAGTAATCTTAATTTTTAAGATTTCACATACGCTTTTATTTCTTTTCTTAAATGTGAGCAATGGTGACATGACCAAATTTAAACCTGGGATCAATAAATTATATCTATTATGCAATTTATTTTCCACATTCACAGTGTCATTACATGGACATTTATCAACTTTATCATAGAAGGCTTTAATAAAATAAAGCTAACAGACATAGGCGTCGATTTCGGGGATGCGGTGATTTCGTACCACCAGATTTCGTCATGAGTCATTTTGCACCCACCACTTTTAACTCCCGTCCATATTAATTTGACTTTTGGTTCGATTTTTTGGACCGTTTTCAGTGGTTATGAGGAGCAATATGAGAGAGAAATTTGGCAATCATTGTCTGACCCAGCAAAAAAAACAACACTATAATACATTTTTTATTGATTTTTCTGTTCGCATTTATGAGGGAAAAAACAACGTGTCAGTTCTCGTTTACGGACGTGAGCGTTCTGAAAGCGGCACTAAAAGACTTCTTTAAAACTTTCACAGAGACCTCAAACAGAACAGCTGCCTTTCTTTACATTTATTTTCGTTTTATATTAATTATATCTTAATTTTAATCAATGTTTCATGAACCAATTGTCTGGATTTATTTAATAAATAAGAAGTAAATATAGCAGAATCACGACATGGAGGCGCCGGCGAGTGAATTGGAGTTCGTCTCATAAATTAACCGAAACTCGGCGTATAATGCACATTCACATTCACAGCGTATTAGACGCATTTATTATCATTACTTTTACCGGTTCTTTGTGGCAAGCTTTATGCGTGCGGTCGTGCGCTTGAGCACAAATTATGAGCTTTTGGCAATTTTTTTTTTATAATTATTGACAAAATTAGAATATAGTAAAAGGATTTTTTTGTGTGTGTGAAAGTTTTGGGTGGGCCTGTTGAAAAGTGGGGCCGTGCCTGAGCTACAGGACATCGTCTTTGAAAACATAACCTGCCCGAAAGAGAGAAAAAAAATTAATACGTCATTGTACCCAACACTTCTGAAAATGCACTGAAAATGCACTTCCGAATGCGTCTCTGTCCCCAGCACATTTCAAACCAAACTGACGCCCATGATAACAAAGATAGATTTACAGGTGACACTGCAATGACTACCCTTTTAAATTGCTAATTTAACCCTTTACACTTTTTTTTTTTTTACATCAGCAGGGTTCACTTGGAATGCTCCGAATGCAATGGGCAAACACGGTCCTCAAGGGTCAATGCCCTCTGCCCTGCAGAGTTCAGCTTCATTTCATTTTTTCTAAATGTAATAAATTTTCAGTGAAATCAATTCTGATTTAAAATAGTAATATGTTAACAAACTAACCCACAGTACCTTTTATCATGCAGATGATTTGTATGAATTTATGATCACAAGCTTGGATGTGTTCTGTCAGCTTGAGGAAGGTAAAGTAAGTGGGGAACTGAAAAAAAAAAAAACGAGTTGGCTTTATAGCAGTCTCATTTCAGTAAACTGCTGGTTAGGTATGAAATATGCCACATGGTGTCCGTAAGAGACTTGGTGAAAATATGTTGGAAATTTGAGAGTAACCTGTTTATTTGTCACCCCAACAACTCAGTTATTAACAAGGATTGAATGGTTGTACTTAGTTGTGGGTGTATTAGTGTGTGGTTTTCTATAGAAACAGAAAATGCAGAGTAAATATTCTAACATTAAATATTAGAGACAACACACTGACAACATACATTATTATACTTCATCTCATTAAACAACAAATTAAACCCCATGTAGCCTACTATTTAAATCGATTGCTGGACGTCGTAATGTTATTGTAGCATAAATCTGATTTAGCATTTTATTAGCAACCCCCACCCCACCTGTTCCACCCACTTTTTAAAACAAAGTTACGTCACTGATTTTTATGTTTATATGTTTACTTAAATGTTATATGGTGTTTTACCAAAGTGTCTAATCATTTTTACAGATAAATTGCTTTAATACCAATTACCAAGGTGACCTGTAAAATACTTCTGCTGTCAGGAAAGCCAAATCAAGTTCTTATACCTGTCCTGACCTGAGCACAAGCTCTCATTCTAATCCTGAAAGCCTTAAATAACATATTTAAATACTTTAAGTCATTAAATTCCTTTAAATTGATAATATCACCTGTATACCTAATTACAGTTTGTCTGAGTGCCCAATTTCAGAACAAAAAGGTTTGAAAAAGCGCCCCCTGCTTGCTATAGCTGTAAATGTAAGCACAACAAAAGCTCACGTTGTTTTCCAAAGACAGATATTGATTACAGTGGTCTGTATCTTAAACCTGCAGTGATCATAAACCTGCATTGGTTACCTCCACTGTAACTGATTTCCCCACACACGTTAATGCTTTGATGTTAAAGCTAGAATGTCCACTAATGTGTTTATTTACAAAAAG